TAAAATATATCATTTTAATAGAATAAGTAACAGATTTTATCCTGGATACTAAATTCTATTAACGGGTTGTAATATATACCTCCTAATAATGTAAGCAATTCCTTCAACGATTATCCCATGACTGCATCACTTATAATGCTTAACTATACTTTTTTGACATTTCCAGACCCATGTGCTTAAAGCACTAACGGGCATTTCAAATATCAGGATGTAAGTAAATGTCCTCATGTCTATTTTTTCCCTTTTACAATAACTGCTTTCTTTGTTTTCCCGGATTGTTCTCCTTCACAAACTGGTTGGTGGCAGGTCTCCTGAGTCCCACTGTATCACTGCATATACCCTCCCCTTTCCCCGAAAAATCTCTAATTACCCGCGATTCCCGACCTCTCTTTCTCCATGCACACTCTCCCAATTCCAATTCTTCTCCTTCTACCCAAATTCAACAGCTCTCTATCGAATCCCTTTTTTTCAACGTACGTCTAGGAAACCCTAATGCAATCTGAAGTTCCCCTTCTTCTTATGGAGAGAAGCGACTATCACATTCAATTACTGAAAGGATGAATTGGTTGATGCATTTGGAAGGTACACCGATCACCCATGGATGGAGCTTAATTCTTGATTCTGCCAATTCAGGACTTTTCCAAGTGAGTCATGTAAATAATACCCTAAAAAATTTCGCATTCAATGTAGTCCCATTTCATCACATTTGAATGTTTTTTTAATCTCTTAGGTCAACTTCGAATTATGCATCTGCCTAGGACAACAATGCTTGATTTTTCTCAATAGGATGGATGCCTTAATGCCTGAGGTAATATATGCCAATTCCATTTTAATAGTTTCTGTTAGTGTTCCTTTTTGTGTGTCTGTGTGCGTTCAACTCAATTAATTAATCAATTGGAAAGAAAAGTACCCATTTCTTGTGAATTGAACACCAATAACACATCAAAAAACATGATGCAAAATTTAGAGCCGTTGTGACATCTAGGTGGGGTGAGAAGTGGGTAGCAAAAGGGGATAACTCATGAATAAAGAAAACTCTACTTAATTAGGCTTCTCTGCAACAGTTTTGCTTAATTTTCATTTTCAATCAAATTGGCTGATTCTGATTCTGTCTCCATATCATCATTTGACGAATAATTAGAAAGCTCAGTGGAATTGGTTTTCATTTTAGCATCATCTTCTTCAGTTGCATATGGATATATTTGGAAGGGCCTAGGAGGCATTTCTAAACTTTCGAGATCCGCTTCAAGCATCTCCACCACTTTGTTCATCGAAGGACGGTCGCTTGGTTTCACTTGTATACACCATCAAGCCACAATGATCATTTTCCTTGCTATTCTCTTTTCATCTTCCTTGGCTTCTCTTATTTCCTGCTCCATTCATTTATTCAATAGTTGCGAAACACATTTAGGAAAGTAAATTTGACTCGAATGCTCTACATGTGGGTTTAAATTCCTTCTCCTGCTAGCCGTTTCCATCAACAACATTCCAAAGCTATAGATATCAGCTTTGTGTGAGACACCTCCATTGTTTCTATAGATCAACTCAGGCGCCATGTATCCTATTGTTCCTCTTACTGCAGTTAGGGACACAATGCTATCTTTTGTAGGATATAATTTTCTAAGATCAAAATTAGACATTTTTGGGATGAAGTTATTGTCTAAAAGAATGTTGTGAGGTATGATGTCAAAATGTAAGATTCGCATATCACAACTTTGGTGTAAATAATCAATCCCATGAGCCACTCTTAGAGAAATCTTGTAAAGTTTTTCCCAACCCAAGGTTGTACTTTCTTCTGTAGTAAAAATGTATTTATCAAGATAATCATTAGGCATGAAGTCATACAAGAGCACAGTTTGAACCGTTGGCACAAAGCCAATAACTTTTACCACTTGAATGGGGAATTATTCCAATTGTTGCTACTTCACCGAAAAAATCTTGGCTTGTGACTTTGGATTTTCCCAATAACTTGACTATAGCAAGACCACCACTCTTAAGCCTTGCTTTATAAACTTTGCCGAAACCCCCTTCTGCAAGTTTTTCCTTAAAACTATTGGTCATCTTTTTGATATCTAAGTAAGAATGCCTCACTAGCATAAGGTTATTGTTACTTTGCAATAATTCTTCAATAGAATCATACGTAGATAAACGCCCTCTTTGCCATTTATATGACAAAAACAGGATGAAGCTAGAAATTGCAAAAGCAAATGCTGCCCCATGAAGTATACCTATGAGGACAAAAAGATACATAGGGATATAATTGATTATCAAATAAAGCATCCAATAAATATTGCACGCTTCTCCTGGAGTTCCTAGTCTTATTTTCTTATAATATCATCAATGTACTTGAATTGTTTATCCTTCATGATTCAAGACAATGCAACATGGATAAATGAAAACCAATAGCTCCAGAAGAGAAAGGTTCTAATTATCTAATATGAATGCTGTGTAGGATAAATAAGTGTAATGCATGACCAAAACTGCAAAATATACCAGAAAGTAGAAACCAAAATCAGGGAGAAGCAAGACATTGAATTTGCATACAGTTCATTAAAAAAGAAAAAAGGACCCAAAATTGGCGAGTTGCATTTGCATGTGTTTGATCAACAGGCAACATATGTTCGTTATGTACCAATCCATATAGAAGGGTAGGGAAACCACCAAAGCTCAAATCCATATGATAACTAATGGTGAACATCTAGGTAGGTAATGTTGTTATCACTCATCCCTCTTGAAGAACAAAGAACCATTAGCTCAATTCGGCATGACTTCTCTAATTCAAATGCCGTTGTTCGTCCAATCTTAGCATAATAATACCTTTCTAGACTTGGATGAATTAGTAGCACCAATGCAAGAGGAAGCATCCACATAGTGAATATCATTTATGGGTTTTCCATAGTTAAGGAAAAGAAAAGCTTCTCCAGGATGAAAGTAAGATGGATCACTTTCTTTTGTGACCTTATCAATGCCAAGGGAATAAAGAGGTAGTGAGGAACAATTACCTTGACGAACACCGGATCCACAACTCTGATCATTGAGTGATTATAATCAGTTTCCTGCACATAGAATTTTCTCGAAATAAGGTGCAAAACTGTGACATTGTTCTAGTAGAATAGATTATACTTTGGGTTTCTACATTTCGGTGGATCGATGCTTAATCGGAAAGGATGATGAATATTCAGAATATTGCTACAAGAAGAAGCTAGACATTTGAAGGCTTGCTTTGGCATTGCTATTTTCATGAGAAAGGACAAGAAGAAGGGCTGCAATGAGGAGCGCTGTTGTAGCCATAGGGAGACAAGTAGAGGTGAGAAAGTCTTTGCTCAGTTTAATACTAACAGGTGGTGCAATCCCACAGTTGTTTTTTTCTACATGACAACTTTGAGAGTCAATTATGTAAATGTGCTTCGCCAAATAATGACTGGGTTTCAATTTCTTGGTAGGTTCAAAAACACCGACTATCGCAGTCAGTTATTGTCCTATTGAAAGGAATGAAACTGATACTAACCCACAACTGATTTTTTCTACATGAGAATTTTCAACGTTAATTGTGTACATCACCAATGAATGCCCATGTTTTAGTTTCTTGGCAAGTTCAGGAATATTGGCCATCACATCTTATTGAGTGAAATGAAATTGGTGCAACCCTACAACTAATTTTTTCTACCCAAAAATTTTCAGAAGTCTTAGTTTTGTTAGTTACTTTGCTGGGAGCTTAACTAGATCTTCAGAATTATTAGCTTTTATGGAGACAAAAAATGAAGAGGAAATGAACTCTAGATACATGATTTAAACTGAAGTTTAATTAAGTTTTGAAACATAAAAGTCAACTCTACGGAATCCTTTAATTGATTTATAAGCAAAATAATTAAAACTAGTTCATACACTTCAAAATATACATAACTATCGGTTTGCCAAACATACTAGCGCAAGACAGAACTCATTGCCCTGGTTATGTTGTAAAGGAAGCTAATCTAATACAAATACAAGCTTCTTCACTACCATCCCACTTAATTTTCATTTCCAAGGAAACTAATAGACTCAATCTCTATATCTTTGCATGAAGAAAAACTAGCAGATTCTGTGAGGTAGGTTTTCTCTGTGACATCATCTAGTTGTGTTGCATGGGGATAAAGTTGGAAAGGGGTGGGAGGCATTTGTAAGCTCTCAAGTTCGGCTTCAAGCATCTTTATGACTTTGTTCATTGAAGGGCGATCAATTGGCTTCATTTGTATGCACCACAATGCTACAATGATCATTTTCTTCGCGATTCTTTTTTGATCTTCTGTGGCTTCTCGTATTTCTAGCTCCATTCCTTTGTTCAATTGCTTTGATGCCCATGAAGGAAAATGGATTTGACTCGAATGCTCTACAAATGGGTTCACATTCTTTCTTCGACTAGCCATTTCCATCAATAACATCCCATAACTATACACATTAGCTTTGTAAGAGACACTTCCTAAATTTTTGTAAAACAGCTCAGGTGCCATATATCCTAGAGTTCCTCTTGCTGCAGTCAAGGACACGGTGTTATCTTTAGTTGGATATAACTTTGCAAGACCAAAATTAGAGATTTTTGGAGTGAAGTTCTCATCTAAAAGAATGTGGTGAGGCTTGATATCAAAATGCAAGATTTGCATATCACAACCTCGGTGTAAATACTTGATTCCTCGAGCCACTCCTAGAGAAATCTTGTATAAATTTTCCCAACCCAAAGTTGCAATATTGCCTTCTGCAGAGAAAATATGTTTATCAAGAGAACCATTAGGCATGAAGTCATACACCAGGGCACGTTTTGATCCTTCAGCACAAAAGCCAATCATTTGTACCACATTGACTTGGTGAATTCTTCCAATGGTAGCAACTTCATTGAAAAAATCTTGCCCTGTAGCTTTTGATTTGCCCAACATCTTTATTGCTGCAAGGCAACCACTTTGAAGCTTTGCTTTGTAAAGTTGACCAAAACCTCCTTCACCCAATTTCTCTTTAAAACCATTGGTCATTTTCTTGATTTTTAAGTAAGAGTACCTTACAGGCATGAGGTTGTTGTTGTTTTGCAAGAATTCTTCAATAGAATTATACATGGATAAATGCCTTCTCCTCCATTTGAAGACTAAAAATATGATGAAACTTGGAATTCCAAGAATAGCTATTGCTCCATGCCATAAGACCCAGTACCAAACAATATCAGCACAAAATGCAACAATAACTGCAAAAAAAAAAAAAAACATTACCTTTTTTCTTTTGTCATAACATAATATTGATTTATATATTGTGTGTGTGTGTTTCTTTAAAAAAAAAATCAGGTAAAAGATTTGAAGAAAAATGTTTACTAGTCAAACTTGTCAAAAATTAAACAGAAAAAATAATTCAAAATTATATTTTTTTAATAAATTTTCATTGTAAAAAAAATAAAATATCTTAATTTTTAAACCATGAATGAATGAGACTTTTTTTTTTTTTTTTGTGATACTTTATAGAAAAGATGTAGTTTTAAATTTTTTTGCATAATTTTTTATAAATCCAATTAATAAATACTAATCTCAAAAGATGTAGATTGTATTATGTGCTCTGTTTCTTAACATTTGTATTTTAGAGTGCTGATGTTCAACCTTTAAGACAATTAGAGAGGCTTTGGAAGAAGGATTGTTGTGAGAAAGCAAGCATTAGTACTTTACTCTCTTTTTTTTCTTTCTTTTGTGTTTTTTTTCTTCATAATTAATCTTTATCTTTTGTTAATAGATTTATCTAACATCTACTTGCCTCACAAATTAAAGAAATAATAAATATATTTTTTATAATTAGTTTTTATTAAAAAATATAAAAATTGATCTTCATTTTATTACAATTGGTACGTGTAAATTTTTAATTGACTAATTAAATAAATCAAATTTAACATTTGTATTTTTAATACAATTTAATTACAAAAGGTGTAAACCAGTTGTTAATAATCAATCATCAATAACAAATAGGCAATCATCATATTCATGCTTCGTAATTGATTATTGAGAGGCACTTATTGTGTGCTGTTAATTCCAACAATAACTTAATAAATCTTGCATTAACTTCAAGTAATTGAGATGTAATAGAAGGACTTAATCAAGGAGATGAAAAACATTTCAGGGACAATTGCATATTTTGGGAGTTGAATAAATAATAACTTTGAATTTTTTCAAAAATATAAAGGATTGGCAGTTCTATCAATCCTTTGAAAAGAAATGATGTTAACTTATTGTAGCGGAAGAATTTAATAAAACAAAAAACCAATTATGTAGGGTTGATTTTTGTAAAGTCAATTATTATATATCCGAGTTGCACTCGTCTAATCAAATTTTATCCTTGCTTCATATATAATATAGGGATTAGTACTTGAAAAAAAAACATTTAAAATTATATTATTTTAATAAAATAATTTAAAAAAATTAGAACAAATCTTGCTTTAAAAATTAAAATGTTTTAGCTTATCTAGATAAAATATATTGAAATGATATGACTTTCAGATATTTTTTTTAAAATTTTTTATAAATTTAATTAATAAATATTTTTTTTAAATTTTTTTATAAATTTAATTAATAAATATTTTTTTTATAAATTAATTGAACAAGATATGAATAAGAAGTACTTACCACGAATATAAAGGGGCACATCGATATATGTATATATATAGCGCAATGGGTGCCCTGCATAAACAAAATTAGCCAACAATAAGAAAAAACCAGTTCGGTACGGATGATTGTTGTTAAAAAATAATATTGTTTGCTATTAATGATCATCAGCATTTGATTGGTGACAACAATTATAGCTCTCAGTTGCATTCATCTCAATCAAACTAGCGTTATCAAACCTGCTTTCCGGTGGTTGAGATATAAATTTGTTTTTAAAAGAAAAAAATTATTATTAAAAATAAATAATAAAATAAAATATATAAAAAAATGATATACATAATTAATTCATGAATATTATAATAAGTTTAAGAAATTTTTTAATACTCTAGAATAAAGTATGTAAGACTAAAATTATTTTATCAAATTAATTTATTTGATTTAAAACATAATTAATTCAAAGATTAAATTAAAAAAATTTCACACAAATATATAAAATAAAAAAACGACTACTACAAAAATAGCCTCAAATAAAATAAAGGTAAAAAAATTTATATTCAAATAGAAAAAAGATTTAAATGAAAAAAATGTAATTACAAAATAGATAAAAGTTTAACAAAATTTATACCAATTGTCATTATTTAATTTGTGCTTTTAAATATCAAAGTATTTATAAAATTACCACAAAATTAAACTTATTTTTAAAGAGACAAAAGAAGAGAAGAAAGAGAAAATAAGATGATAGAATTAACTCTACACTCCTTATATTACACTTAAAATTTTATTCTTACTTCATATATATATATATATAATATTTGAACATAATGTGGATTAGAGGTACTTACCAGGTATATAATAGGTGAACAAATCTACATCTGTCCTGAAAACTCTGAAAACTCGGTTGTCTGCATGAAGTAAACAAAATTAACCAAACCATTTGCAACTAAAAATAGATACGACCAAGAAATGAAAAGTCATATGCACAATTGGAACTCAAATCAAAAGAATTTGTTTCTACAGTACCCGCATATGCATCACCAGGATAAAGAACACACTGATTTTCCTCATTAATGTAGGTTAAATAACTATTTCCACACGAAGCGCCCCTCCACGATAACTCAATTCCATATGTTAACCCATGGTGGATGTCCAGGTAGGAGGGGTCCTCGTAATTCTTCCCCAGTATTGGTATAAGTGCCATTAGCTCAATACGGCATGAAGGTTTTAACTCATGTGGAGTTGGTGTTCCAATTTTCACATAATAATACCTTTTGCCTTCAGATTCAGGCCTATAAGGTGTGAAAAAAGAGCTACTGTTAATGCAGGCTGGAGCTTCCACCAAACGCGGGGCATTTACAAGATTTTCACAACTTATGAAGAGAATGCTTCCCGAATGATGATAAGGAAAATCAAACGTTGAGAAGCTAGAGGCGTCCCAGGAGTATTGAGGTATGGAGCATCTCCCTTCCTCAACGCTAGCATCAGCTACTCGAATTGTTTGATTGTCATAATTGATTGCTTTCACGTAGAATTTTCCTGATTTGGTAGGGAATACTGTAAGGGTTTTCTCACAGGATAGAGAATATCCTGGATGTCCAGTCTCTCCACAGTGAGGCGGATCTGTGTTTAATCTGAAAGGTTAGCTAATATTCAAATTATTTCCACAAGAAGAAGGTGGACAGTAACGTTTATATTTGGCACTGCAAGTCTCATGAATTAAAGCGAGAAGAAGAAGAGCGACAAAGATGAGGGCTGGTCTAGGCATGGAGAGGTGCAAAAGGGGGCAAAAGGTGTCGACAACTTTCAGGTCTTTGAACAGAGTCTAGTGGTTTACAGAAGAATTACAATAATTTTTTGGCCTTAAAATAACCACACACACTCCATC